CTCTCTCTCTCTCTCTCTCTCTCTCTCTCTCTCTTTCTCTCTATGTATGCATGTATGCATGTATGTATGTATCTATCTATCTATCTTTCGTTGAAAGACCATTTGGTGGAATCCAACGCTTTTTTTTCTCTTATTTTCGGTTTTGTTTACTTTGAGTTTTTTAAGATAAATTGTCGCAATCATTTCTTTTTCTCTTACTGGATGAAATGTGCTCTCATTAATTGTTGTCCGTGATTGCCGAATAACTTAATCCTTCCAAGACTTTCAATGAGCTATGTGACAAAATGATTATCTACGTGTTAAAGTAAAGAAATAAATCTGTTGGGTGTTATTTTTTCGACCTTTGATAAAGGTTAAACTCACATGCTATTGAAATTGGTGTTTGTTTTTCATGACCTGTGAATAAAAATTTGTTCTTTTCAATTACTCAGATGCATTTTTCTGTTTGATCAAGATTGTGTCAGTTTGTACGTCTGTTTTTACCTCTTTACTATGTTTTGTGTTTATTAAAGAACTGTATTAAATTTCAGACCCCAAAAAAATGCAACTATTACTTAGCTGGCCAGGAATCACAATTTTCTCCAAATGTTAAAACCTGTCATTATTTCCCATAATAATAGTACTGATTCCATGATAACACAAATTTCTGTACATATTGACAAGCCAAAGTAGAGTGCTATATTACATCATCTTTTTTCTAACTCTGCGGTTTTTCTCCTCTGCCTGTTGTTTGGCGTCGGTAGCTTGGTGGTTAAGCTACCGGACTCGTAATTGTGAGATTGCGGGGTCGCGGGGGTCGAGACTCAGCTCGGTCCGACGTTGTGATCTTTGAAAAAGCACTTTAAACAAATCTACCACTTGGTTCAGTCCTTTCGGAGATGGACGTTATACTCGGAGGTCCCTAATTTTTAAAAACACTTAACAGTATTGATCGGGACGTTAAACTGATATACCATTTTCACCATTTTCTGCCTGTCGAGGTCTTTCACATTATAATATTTATTATCATGGTGGATGGTTGGTGGGTCCTCTGATGTGGTTTACTCCTTCTTCCTATAAAACTCAAACATCTATCTTCCTGGTCCCTCCTCCTTGTTACTGTTTGTTACTCTCTTGTAACACTTCTAATCTTCAGCACGTATACGTTATATGACCTAATGTCATTGTGTTGCAAATGCTACCACTCTTACTTTAAAAAGTCTCGAGTTTGATCCTCGAGTGAAGTGGAATTTGTTTAGAGTATCTGGTTCTTTCTGTTGGGATTCTGCATCCTTTTCTGCCTGGCTAGACCCTTACAGTACAGGCAGGATCGGGAGCCAGCTCCTAAATGATCTCTAAATGGTCGGGTTGTACATGCAGAGGTGAGTTCGCTACTTGCATTGAAAGTTGTTTCAACAACCTCCGACTTCTGAGGTGGTCTGTCTATCACACGAAGTCCAGATTGGTCCTTCACTGGCAGACAAGATCGAAACTGCCAGCATCATCATCATCATCATCATCATCATCATCATCATCATCATCATCATCATCATAATAATAATAATAATAATAATGATAATGATAATACTAACAATAACAACAACAATTATTCAAATTAATAATAATGATAATAATTATAATTATAGTAACAATAATAATAATATCAATAAATGAATTATTTAGATAGGGTCAATATAGGTGCGAAAAAGACTGACAGACAGATGAAATGAAAGGAATTACAGGTGACAAGAAAGGTGATCACGCCTGGAAATCACGAGCAGATAAGAGCAAATACGGACCGAGCGACATGTAGGCCCTCCGAACTGAATACAACGTACTAGCAGACATACAAAGATTCTAGATTAACCCTATCCGTACGTAGTCTGTGCCACCACTTTCCAAAGAGGAAATTAACTCGTAAATCCGATCCGCACGCTTTGCATAGCACAGTGTCAAAATCATCTTTTGAGAAATACTGAAAGTTTTAAAGAGATCTTCGTACTAGAAGTAGAAGTATTCTAAAATGTGGAGAATACAACCCTGGTGGTACAAAATCACCCCTGCACGTAGGGCTAGGGTTACGAAAAAAGAACTTCGCCACATGAGAGTCGAACTCGCGTCTTCTACGTGAGACAGTGAAACACCCGACAGATACCAGTCTCTAAAAGGCAAAAGTGGTCACAATCTCTGAGGCCAGAAATGTGAAGGTGTATTCGCTATCACTATGTTTTAGTCACAACCACCCTCCTCTTCTCCCCCACCTCTCTGCGAAAAAAAATTCGAAATCAATCCGAGATAGCCCAATACAATAATACATACTAATTTTTTGAAGCCTCAATGGCTTAGCCAGCCTATTTTAGCTAAAAGAAAAACAACCGAATTTGGCCTTCTGTTCACCACGGCCTTGAATTCAGATGTCGTTTTTGTTATGGGGAGCAGAAATGTACACCTGTGAGAGCTTTATAAAGTAAGCAGCTGGAGGAAGTGGTTTGTGTCAACCAGACGAGAAGAATTTTGCTGTATTGCCAGTGGTTGGTATTTTCAGAATAATTCAACCTTTTCAAGACCTTCAAGGCCTGGTCAAGGTTTAAGTCAATCTTATCAGTTTAAAATTGGTAAGTACTTTTCAAAACGGCACGTGGTGTCTGTCAGACAAGAGAGCATTCTATGTACTGTTTAATTTATATTATTGTTTAGAATTAGCCAACTTCGTCTAAGAGATGCTCATGGAAAGATCAATTGAGGTCCAGAAAGACCTTTACCTCTACTTTATCCGCTACTCTAAAACATTTGACAAAATTAGATATCAATAATTATTTAACATTCCTACAGATAAAAAAAAAGATGGGGGAAAAATAAAATCCTGAAAAATGTTTATTGGGAACAACAGCCAGCACTCAGGGTCGACAACGAGCCAAGCAAATACTGGGCAGTCCCGCAAACGAGTACGACAAGGGTGTGTCTCATTTCCAGATCTCTTCAATTTATACAGCAAAATTATGATACTGTAAAGCATCTATTATATTGTAGGAGTCAAGGTAGATTGCAATATCTAAAGAAACTTTCAGTAAGATTGAAACTATCCTCTTTAATTGAAACATAACAGTGAAAACAAAAATAAAAACCCTGGAAGCGTGCGTATGGTCCATCCTTTTGTATGGATGCGAGAGCTGAACACTAAACAAAGACACAGAGAAGACTTGAGGTCGCCTAAGTCGTGTGGTATTTTAGGAAAAAACTGGAATCTCATGGACAGAGAGGAAAACAAACAGAGAAGTGCTCCAAATGGCACGATGTGAAAGTCCCATAACCAGAACCATGACAAAAAAGACAATTGAGATTATTTAGCCATGTAAATAGATCAAATGGACAAGAAAAACTGCTGCTGTGTGGAACTATAGAGGGGATGAAGACCCGAGGAAGACAAAGAACAACCAGTACAAAGATGACCTGAGCGGCTTTGCAACGAATAACACAAAGAGAAAAACCGAGCTGATCAAGAACACAGACAACAGGAAGGAAAAAGGTACCATGATCGTCAATTTCTGCTCCAAACATGACTTCTCAAGAAGAAATCTTGGAATTATGTAAAAATGCCTAGAACACAGGAGTAGTGGCTTATAATTCTCTTTCTCTTCTTCTTCTTCTTCTTCTTCTTCTTCTTCTTCTTCTTCTTCTTCTTCTTCTTCTTCTTCTTTTTCTCCTTCTCCTTCTCCTTCTCCTTCTCCTTCTCCTTCTCCTTCTCCTTCTCCTTCTCCTTCTCCTTCTCCTTCTCCTTCTCCTTCTCCTTCTTATTGTGTAGACCCATAACGTAAAAAGAAACTTTACTGTGAAATGAGAATCTTACTTTCGATTAGCTACTGAACCTTAGCAGAGATATGCAAAAGAAGAAGTATCGAGATCAACAAAGAACAGCTGTTACCAATTATAGCTGCAGTGGAAATAGCATCGGCAACAAGAACAACAACAGGAACAGGAACAACATCCAAAACAGCTGCAATCATCTGCCCAATATGTGACATCCATGCAAGTGTACATGTAAATATTTTTGCGACCCCATCGGCTTAATTTAGATGATTCAGTAGGCGGTCATCCAATCCTGTCTGTCACGACCAACCCGAGCTGAGAGGGATAAAGATAAAACATCCCAGCAGAAAGATCGAGATACTCAAAACCTCTCCCCATCCGGGAATGGAACAAGGTTCTCATGAGTTTGACGGCGAGGCACGTAACGCCTACACCACAGAAGCCAATTATTTAAGCACATTCATTAGCCTTCTATGAGCAAAAAATAAAGCATAAATAATAATAATAATAATAGTAATAGTAATAATATTAAAGATAATCATAGTAATAATAAAAAAATTAATGATAATAATGATAATAATAATATAACAATAATAATAACAATGATAATAACAATAAT